CATCAAAGTCCTCTACTGTTATTGTACTGCTGTCTACTTCTCCCTTTAGGTCTGTTAATATTTGCTTTACATATTTAGGTGCCTCTATGTTGGGTGCATAATTATTTACAAATGTTATATTCTCTTGGTTTGACACCTTTATCATTATGTAATGAATGCCCTTCTTGCCTCTTATTGCTCTTGAGGACTCCAGCCAGCCTAGTACATTTCTGTGGCTCCTATTTAACATATCTGGGATGGTCAGCAAGGAATCAAAATCTAATTTAGAATTGCAGAGAGGTCAATAAAAGAAATCTCAACATATAAGTTGTAGGCCTAAATATGTACAAAATATTCACAATCGCTTCAGCCTCCTGTGCTTCAAGAGGTTGTCCTTTCCAGAATAAAGGAGGAACTGAGGAGGGAATTAGCATTTGGAAGCACCTCCCATGTACTACACTCTAACTACAGCATATCAGTTAAGCTTTGTGTTGTGCTGAGGGCAGGTATTACTCCACTTGTTATATATATCTGAGGAAGCTGAGGCTCAAAAAGGTGGTCACTAATGGCCAGTAATGACACTGTCCTGTGACTTTGACTGAACTAACGTCGTTTCTGTACACCTGCTTCCTCACCTGTCACATGGAAATATACCATCTACTCTGCAGAGGGTTAAAGGAGATGACATATGTGTGTACCTAGCTCCTGGCTGAGCAGAAAGGGCACCAAACATGATGGGCTATTCCAGAGGCAGCCTGAAGGGCCTGAGAACAGGGCAGACAGGATGAGGCTCTTGACCGGTGTTGGCTTTTCAAGCCTGAAAGCAGGAAAGGAGGCCTGTATCAGAGCAAAGCCTGGGAGGGGCTCTGTAGTCAGTCACCTGAGCTGAGGCCTGGGTCAGTCCTTGCCTCGTGTGATTACATGGTCACCTTAGTTACTTACCCTTTGTAAGCTTCTATCCCTCAACTGGAAACAGGGATAGCAGGAGGGACATACTTTGGGGGGGCATGAGAATCGAGTAAGATTTTAGAGCTCTGTCCCCACTGCAGCTCTGGAGGTGCCTTCCAAGCTTTTCCTTTTTTTAAAATCAGAACAATTTATTCAGGATTGTCATAAGCAAATGCATACATATTGTTTTGGCAGATATTCCATTTTTTAAATTCACCCATTCTATTTCAGAGCAACCCCATTATTCCTTTACTATCAAACTTCTTGAAAAAATGTTTCACATTTGATGTTTCTACTTCCTCCACATTGACTCTTCACCCCCTGTAATACAGTTAATGCATCTCCTACTCAAGCGAAAGAGCTTCCATCAAGTTCTCTAGTAACCTCTTAACTACCTCTTGCTTCTTAACTCCCAGTATCTCCTTTTGCTTTTCACCTTTGTCAGGGGCCTAGAAGGAAGTTATGCAGGAGTTAAAACTGAGATGGATGGGCCCCTCTACACATCTCTCTTTAAGGCCCCTGCTCAGTTCTCTAAAGAACGAGCCAAAACTTTCTTTCCTCTGTGGCCATTAGAAAGCCTCCAACTTTATCTCCTCAGAGGACTGTCACTGTAACTTCTGAGCATCCAAAGAGCCCATATGGAAAGGAAAGTGGGCCAAGTGTCACTGAAATAGAACCACCCTGAGGAGACCAAGGGTCTTGCAGTTTTAACAATTGTTTTCAGTAGAAACTGTCTAGCAAACCACACACACACACACACACACACACACACACACACACTCACTCACTCTCTCTCTCTCTCTCTCTCTTCAGCAGGAACTGATGGAAAACAACTCGGAGGAAGTCCAGCTGTTCCCTCTGAGGAGCACGCATGAGGGAAGCCAGGCCTAGGAAGAGGGGGTGTTGCTCGGGTGGTGACATACAGCATTCCTTTCACTTGAGGCAGCTGAGCCTGAGAAGCTGCTGAACCCGAGGAGCTGCAGTCTCCCCTTGGGAATATGACTTACCCTTAGACGGGAAGGGCCTCACAAAAACAGACCTGTGTCCACGCATCCGTCCCCAAGAGGAACCCCTTCCCATCCTGTGCGCGCGAACTCCCGTGTCAGCAGAGGTTCAGATGCCACCCAGTCTCCGGCCAGACAAAGAGCCCAAAGTCAGCAATCTCGTAGGATGTGTTTATATTTACATGGTACATTTTAAAGCAACAGCTACATTGGTCATACATATTAGAAACCATAAAAAAAAGTTAAGAACTTAAAATGTACATCATACACTTGTATATATATTTTTTACAGAGGTAAAAAGGGTTATTATAAAAAAATCAATACAACAGGGTTTTTAGTATACAGGTGAAGAATGAATTATGCTTCAGGCACTTTAATTTGTTAATGTGAGCAAATAGC